TTTCTAGCATTTTGCCCGTAGTGAAAATTACACCCGCACATACCATGAACAAATACCACAAATTATGTGGTATTTGGAGAATCCGGTTTCTTGGAGAAATTTTACAAAATTTTTTGGTCCCTTATACCCTTGCTGCATCGTGTCCTATTAGCTGAGTAGTGTCTAACCCTTAAAGAAATTACAACAACTCGGTTCCTGAAACCACTCAAAGAAATTACAATTCTGACTTGTATTGAAGTTGGGGCATCCATAGAACTTCCTTCCCGGGTTCTTTGCTGTCCGAGACTTGCGCAGAACAGCCGTCATTCCACACTTGCACAACTTCACGTTCGATGACGATAAACATGACAATTGCCCGGAAAATACACTTTCACATGCATCTCCACCCATGACCTTTGATTACAGTTGTTGTCGTTGGAAAATCCCTGTTCCCGTTAGTGGTAACCTGTGTGACACAGACAGATGCAGAGGACTATACCTACAATATCAGCTTTCTCTAATAATACTGTAAATCATGTTGGACACGCTGAAAACAAAAAATATAAAAACTCTTTACTAACATTAAAGTCATTAACCCTCTATTTTAAACTACAATACTGAACAGTAATAAGGTTAAAATTAGTATAACATACGACGGTAACCGTACTCAAGAATGTAGTACTGTTGCTATTGTAACCCAAAAAAAAGGACCAACCTTGCTACAGAATCGGCCGGTGCTACAGGAACCGGAGACTTACAGCAATAACAGGAAGCGCAGCTTGTCCAAGGAGATGAAGATCGATGGCTACCATATCCACGCCAACTACAACAAAAGAAGCTGTTCACGTAGAGAGATGGATAACTATCAATGGGTGAAAGAGCAAGAGAGATGAGGGGAAATGTAGACACCCACAAAATAACGAGTCTGAAATTCAATTTGAGAGAGAGAGACTTGGACAAATAAACGTTGTAACCTGATTATTCAAAATAACAGGGTATTATTGTAAATTCAGTCCACATTTCCTATAATATTTTATCAACAATCAAACATTGACAAAGGAAAATTAACCTAAAATTCTCAGCAAAATTTTGGTCTACTAAATAATTTTTGGGCCACTTTTCCAGAAAACTCTCATTCCCACCATTTTAAAGGAAATCATGGTTCTAGGATAAAAAAAAATTTATCCTTTAGTAAACGCCTCGTTAGGGAGTTAGGGAATAGTCATTCGTGCAGTAGATTAGTAGACAGATACTCCAGACAACACGTGCCATTATCTGTTCCAAAGCCAATTCACTTGCAAATTTCATTTAGCTTTTTTGTTTTGCTGCCTTTTGTTCATGTTGCGTCAGTGATGATGCAATTTACAGTTTATAATACAATTAAGAATAGAGTCTATTTTGGATTCCTAGAAAAAAAATTACGTTTCTCACTATAGTTCTTTATAAAAAAAATTTAATCGTCTGGTCCCGATGAAATTCAAAATAGACTCATTTTAGTCTTTTTGAGAGATTAATGTGGGTCTTTTTTGAATTTGTGATGAACCACGATTTCAACTAAATGAGTCCATTTTAATTTTTTTTGGTACCTCAGGACTCTTTTTTTTTTTTGTAAGGGATTAAAGTAGCGATCGTGTTTTTTTGTTAAGATCCAAAATGAGCTTTATTCTACAATTAACTTCAACTAAAAATAGGTTTTAATTCTTTTTTCTTTTAGTATTTAAAAAGTTTAAGTGGATTTAGACACTTGTATTGCACTAGAGTTAGTGAAGACCCCCAACCTCTTTGAGGATTTTTGAGAAGAATTACATATCACTTACTAACATAGTCATCACATCGACCAGCGAAATTTGAACCCACACTCATGTGAGGTATGGACCAAACCATTAGTCAATTGTCTTACCTTTGTTGGTAATAGGTTTTGATTTTGCTTGAATTGTTAGGGGAATATAACATCATTGGCAAAACGGGTCGGCCCACCTTGACCGCCCCGACCTGCCGCCAACCCTCAAAAAATGGGTTGGCCCGTCCCGCATTTTGATATGGGTTGAAAATTTCAACTCACCTCGTTTTGTGGTGGGTTGGTGGGTCAACCTGCCTAAAAAATAAAAAAAAATAAAAAATTAAAAATAAAAAATTAAAAATAAATTATATTTTATTACTTTTATAATATTTCTTATTTTTATTTCACCATCCCTTTAGTATTTTTTCTAATCTCAAACCTAAATGTATAATTATATTCAATCAAATATTTTTTAGGAACTTATTTTTGTCTCAATATATGGATAACCTTTGTAATAAATAAAATTTTTCTTCTTTATTTTTTCTAGGGGGAGTGCTAAGATAAATTTTTTTTCATATCACAAAAGTTTAGTGACAAATAAAATACTAACCAATTAGTAAAAAAAAATAAAAAAATTGACCCGCAGGCCAATCCGCCCCGACCCACCGCTAACCCGTTTTGACCCACAACTAAGCAGGGCGGGTTGAGGTGGGTTGGTGGGTTGAAAAGTATAACCCAACTCGCCCCGTTTTGGCAGGTTGACGGGTTGACTCGTCGGGTTCAACTCAAATTGCCACCTCTAGGTCTATCTCTTATATGTATTTTCGGGTATACTTTATATTGAATAAAAAAATAAAAGTGGAATTTTCAAAAATTCACATGCACCAAAAAAAAGGCTTATCCACCATTTGTTTCAATTTTGTTGTCTCCATCTACGTTGCACCGACACCGATATAGGACGGGACACGACATGATACCCCGTTAATTCTAAAAAATGTTAGATTTCGACATGTTAGGACACGTTTTGATATTAAATAATACTTTTATTTTATGTAGTGTATATTATATTTAAAATTCAATAATTTAACAAAAAAAATATTTATAAACTTATAATACCCATCAATTTTGCATATAAACACAAGATATCACAAATATCTATATTAAACTCAATAAAATGGTAATCGCAATCCCATGAATTTAATAATTGAAACTAAAAATGCAACGCAACGCAACCTTTGAACCCTTTTTTAAGTCTCTGCCGCGCATGTTGGGGAGTGTCAGAGAGTGCCGGGAAGTGTTAGACACGACACGTCAAGTTTTCTGAAGTGTCAGTGCATCATAAGTCTCCATCACAAAAAAAAATAGTGGAGTTCTCATCTTCCCTTCAGTTTTAATAACCATGACCAGTATTTTAAAACTCAGTTGAGGTATTAGGTTGCTAGGTCATTTGTTCGAGCGGTGGATCACATTCAACCGATTTAATTAAATTTATATTAAGTTATATAATAAATATATCATAATGTGCATTTTAACCAACAATTAAGGGTAGCTAAGTGATAACACTACTCACTTCCATATATTATATAATAAATATATTATATAGGCTGGGTCGATTCACAGCAATGTCAAAAGTGGAATGTTTAGAAAGCTATTTAGAACAAGTTTAGACCTTAAAAAAGGACTATTTAGAAAGCAGGTCATATGCTTTCTTTTACATGCCGGGTCTATAAGTCTAAAGGTCGGCCTATATCAATCATATTATTTATTTTAAATAAAATAAATAAATTATTATTTTAGTAATTTTGAATAATAAAGTAATTTTATGTTAATTAATTTTTAATAATTGAATGCCTAATATGCTTAAACAAGCCAACAGGCATAAGACAACGCTTTTATTTTTTAAATATAGACCACATCGAACTTATAATCTGGTCCTGTAGAAGGCTAATAGACTAGGTTAACAATATTTTACATAAATTTGAACTCTTTAAAGTAAAGTCTAACCCAACTCAACTTATTTATAGCCTGGTAATATGTTCCAATTGGTAAGAAGTGTGTTGATCAATGATTTAGAATTGGAAGTGTTTAGCTGAATACTCAAATTTGTAGAGAAAAAATTATATTTTTCTTAACTTTTCATTGAAAAATGTTTTGAAGATATTAATTGATTGTTGTAAGAGCTATTTCCATTTATCTTAATTTTATTTATTTATTTATTTTTTAAAATATCTGAAATTATAATAGAACTCAAAATATTTACACAAATATAATATATTTAGGCTAAGTCTAGCCGTACTTATTTAGTTACACTCTTATCCATGACGATACTTGTATCAATGCATAATATTTCAAAATTATAGTTATAAAATACGATGGCATATAGAGTTATAGACGATAAAATTGGAAACCACGTTAAACTTTTAATTTCTTGCCTGGTGTAAAATATCTATAAAAAAATATGGTTTTCTGCAACTTTCAATTTTTTTTCTTTAATTCAAATTTTTAAAAATAAACTAAACATCTAATTTCGTAATTTATTTAATTTTTCCCCCCCTCTCCTTACACCATAAACTTCTTTACGGTCTTCAGGGGTCTGTTAGCTGGGAATAGTATATTTTGTTTGATTTTTAACTTAATAATGTAAATATTCAACAAAAAGTAGCTTAGGAGATAATAAAAATCTCCGATTTTTTTTATCTATTAAATTAAGTTATATATGTATAAAAAAAGGTTTAATGTTTGTTATTTTAAATGACATAAATTATGTCATTTTAAGAGAGAGATAGACACAGAAAATGAAAATTATGGAAGAGAGAAATTGAGTATTTTTTTAATTTAAAATTTAAATAAAAAAATTTATTATGTGTCTATTACTCTCTTACAATCACAAACACTTTTTCCAAATATTATAGGAAAAATCATCTATCTTTTTAAAGGATATAAATATATGTCATTTTAGATTCTAACCGTTGATTTCCGTCCATCAACAATTATAATTTGTTGGATCAAAAATATTAATTAATATATAATAAGTTTGGCACATTAAGTGATGGACGAAAATCAACTATTATGATCTAAAGGATACATGCTTTTCCCATAATATTTTGGTGTTTAATATAACAGCCGTGTCCGTCGAGTGTTTAAGCCCACGACCCGTTTGACGGGCCCAATACCCAACGAAGAATCCGATGTCGAAACCGAGAAATCTAAACCCTGTGACTCTCATCCTTCAAACGCTGAACCCTGGCTAGTGGCTAGTGGCTAATCCATTCTCCATGAGCATGGCTTCTCTCACTTTCAAAGCCGAGTTGGTATCCACCTTCTTTGGCTTTGCTTATCGCAATCCCAAACCCTTCAATCCACTCCAAACCACCTTCGTCCCTCTTCTATGCAAAACAAAAACTCATTCCCAATCGCTATCTTCTTATTCCTTTTCTAGAACATTCGCTCTAAACCCTAGCAGGGGCACTCGCCGCTTCACCGTCGCCGCAACCACCACAGCGCCGCCTCATACTGAGGGCTCCGATGTTTCCACTGCGATTCCGCCCGATAATCGCATTCCGGCTACCATCATCACCGGCTTTCTCGGTTCTGGCAAGGTATCCTATTTCCTCATTTTCTTATTCAATTTCAAATTTGCAGCACCAGAACTGATTTTGACGTGGAATTGAGCAGACAACGCTGCTAAACCATATTCTGACTGCGGAGCATGGAAAACGAATTGCGGTTATTGAGAATGAGGTTTGTGGTGGAGTGGAATTTTCTATATAACATGATTCCAATGAATTCGAACATGTTTGTTCCCGTTAACGCGTGTTGTTTTCTGCATTGTTGTAGTTTGGTGAAGTTGACATAGATGGTTCTTTAGTCGCTGCGAAAACTGCTGGTGCTGAAGATATTATGATGTTGAACAATGGCTGCCTTTGCTGCACCGTCAGGGGCGACCTTGTCAGAATGATTGCGGAATTAGTCACTAAGAAGAAAGGAAAATTTGACCACATTGTTATAGAGACTACAGGTAACTATGCAACTTTTTTTCGGTGTATTTATTTGTCGTCATCAAAGTTTTAAACCTTAGAGTTTCTTAACTTCTGCTTAAAATCTTAATTTATCGAGATACTTATTACGGTTGTACTTAATCTGACTTGTTTGAACCTTACAGTTTCTTCACTTATGCCTGAAAATTCTTAATTTATTGAGATACTACTTATTAAGATTGTACTTAATAAGATTGTACTTAATGCGACTTGTTTCATTGTTCGTATTTCTACAGGTTTGGCGAATCCAGCACCAATAATCCAGACATTTTATGCAGAGGATAAGATTTTTAATGAAGTCAAGTTGGATGGTGTTGTCACTTTGGTTGATGCAAAACATGCTGATTTTCATCTTGACGAAGTTAAGCCAAAAGGCGTGGTCAATGAGGCAGTGGAACAGATTGCTTATGCAGATCGTATAATTGTAAATAAGGTATTGAATACTTTATTCTTATCGCAGAAAGACCTCATTTCTATGTTAATGTGGTAAAAAATTTGGATTATTTAGAAAATAGCCTCTCAGTTTTGATCTAGTAACTAGTTAACCAACTGATGGATAGTTTAGTTTTATTCTAGTATGGCTGACCTTGTCTGTCAATACATTCAATGTGGAAGTATTTTTAAAATTCTACATACCAGGTTGTGGAATGAAATGAATACTTTCTTTAGGCCAGAGATAGTAGGCTAATATTCTTGTCTATCTTGTACCAGACTGACCTCGTTGGTGAATCAGACATTGCTTCTTTGGTCCAGCGGATAAGGGTTGGTGTCTTTCTCTTCCTATTGTTTCCAAGGGTTCAGTTTTTATTTTAATTTCATTTCATTATTTTGAGCACCATATGAATGTTGCTGAGTTTTTTGATACAGAAAATAAATGGCTTGGCCCATTTAAAGCGGACAGAGTTTGGAAAAGTTAACTTGGATTATGTCCTTGGCATTGGGGGTTTTGATTTGGAGAGGTAGCTTTTTGTTCTTGTTTCCTACTTTCTGGGTTCGAATTATTTAAGAAAAAGGAAATCTGAATTTGGGATTCTTTTTCTCTGCACCTGGAATTTCTTTTTAATTGTATGATTCCTGCAAGTCTGCACCCCTTTCATTTATAAATAATTATATACCTTGGTCTTTTCATATTGAAATTATTCCCATTTTTGTTGTTGATCATTTATACTGAAACCATTCCCATTTGTCTACTATTCATAGACGCATATCTTAAGATTTGGTTTGGTGTTAATGCTTGTCCTTAATGGCGACAATCCTCTAAGTAGTAATCACATTCCTCTGCCCCTGTCAAATGCCTTGTTTCAGTTCCATGTAATCCATAATCTTACATGGATATTTGGATATTTCTGCTTCAATATTTTTATTATCCTTATGCTGTCCTAGCCTGCATATATGATTTGTGTATTTTTCTTGATCTTTACTAGGATTGAGAGTGCTGTCAATGATGAAGTTGCAAAAGAAGATCATGTCCACAGCCATGACCACGAGCACGAGCACCATGACCATGATCACCACCACCATAACCATGATGACTCACACGACCATAAGCACGGTACCTACTGATTCATCTTGAGTCAGAACTATTTACATGCCATGTTATTATTGTTTGCAGCTCTAGTCACATTGCAGTGGTGCCCATGTCTTAATGAATCTTACAAATGAAGTTTAACTTTATTAATCACACATTTTATTTGGATATCTATAGATCTATATTATTATTTCCCTAATTTTATTATTTGGATGTGCCTTCTCAATTCATAATGACATAGCTTATAAAACATTATTATTTTGATTCTGTAGTTGTGCTATAAAGTGAAAGATTGATTTTGTTTTATATGCAGATCACCACTCTCATGATCATAGTCACGATCCTGGTGTTACATCCGTCAGCATAGTTTGTGAAGGAAGCTTAGACCTCGAGAAGGTTAGTCCTTACAATTTGTCTACTTATGCTTAATCCCAAGTGTATAGATTTCTCTTTTCCATTTGGATTCTTGGGGAATGCCTTTTATTGCAGATGTTTATGTATATGTAAAAAGTCAATGTTGGCATTTATGTAATGAAAGGGTAATTTGTTAACTTTTTCAGGCAAACATGTGGCTTGGCACCTTGTTGCTGGATCGTAGTGAAGACATTTATAGGATGAAGGGTCTTCTATCTGTTCAAGGAATGAATGAGAGATTTGTCTTTCAGGTGAATTTGAGTTCCTTTTCCATGATGAGATTTCCATATGGATCTTTCTAAAATTTTCAATTTTATGCTACTTTGTTGTTGTCATCTGTCAATCAGGTGGCTATCTTCTCTCTGCCCCCATCTCACCCTCCCTTTTGCCCACACCAACTTTCTTTCACTTTTATCGCTTACTGTGTTCAGTTTCACTGACGTAAGCAGAGTTTTTCTGTAACAGGGAGTTCATGACATATTCCAAGGTTCACCTGAAAGGTTGTGGGGGCCAGATGAACCAAGGTTAAACAAAATTGTTTTCATAGGTAAAAACTTGGATGCTAAGGAATTGGAAAAGGGATTCAAGGCCTGTTTACTGTGATACTTAGTTCAATACAATGTGCTTCAATTCTCACTCTTTCTGCCGATGTCGCACGTTGAAGATGAGTGTGTCTATATTCCAATACCATGTAGAAAGAAATCTGGACTGACTGGACCATATTTATAGTGAAAAATGTTACATTCCCAGAATACCTTCATCCTTTAATGGTGTTTCAGTCTCATTCAATTCAACTATTCTTGTTGGTTTCGAATGGTCTATCGCTGTTATAACTTTTAGTGCTCGTTTGGTGGACAGGATAACAATATGATATGGGGCTGATAAGGGTAGGATATGATATGGGGCTGATAAGCCTATATCATGTCCTGTGTTTGATGAGCACCTGATTAGCAATCTGATAAGATTATGTAGAAGGAGAAATGGGAAAGAAAAAACAAAATTTAATGCAATAAATACAAATATATTGGGTAGTGTGGGGATATATTGGATATTCAATATTGGTATCCTATCCTATTGAATTCTAACCTAGCTCTCTCCATAGGTTTAGGAATCATGTATTAGATAGGATAAAGTGAGACAATAGGATAAATTAATCATATCCTATTGATCCACCAAACAAGAGATAAAAATAGAATATGATAAGTTATCCTATCTTATCTTCTTTATCAGGTGCTCCAAACAGTCCCTTAAGGGATTAAACTAAGTTGAGAAAATATCATCTGAGAACATTATTAACTTGTATAAATTGAAGGACCCTATACTTTAATATTATAAAAAGATAATGACATGCAAAAATAAGTTCATGTAAGCTATTATTATTATTTTTTTTATGTTAATACTTTTTGAAGTCATTATGGAAGCTCTAGTCATACACAATTATTGTAAGAATTTATTTTTTGTACATGTAACTATCAATTATAATTAAGTATATTTTCATAAAATTTACAATAATTTATCTCGAAATTGCGTATCTTAGTGAAGCACATCCGCCAGAGCTAGTTTATTAAATAAAATCTGAACGAGTTTTGGCATACGTGGTATGCGGTCATGCCAGTGAAAATACCAAAAATCCAATGCATTTACATAATTTGGAAAAGAAAAAAAAAAGTAAATAAAAATGTAAACCGTGTTTTCAATTTTCATTAGGTTGAGAAAGGTTGGATGGTTCGATGTACACTGATATAAATATAGCCTTCAAAGTGACAAAGCCAATATGAACCACCGTACAGAATTTCAAACACCAAATGTGAAAGGCAATAATAACAAGCAAACTAGTAGTGAGTGAGGTATACATTGAAATGGAGGATGGTGTCGACTCCATCTGTGGTATGCTGGTCCTCCTTAAGAAGGGTCTCAAGTGCAGCATATCCCCTTGCATTCTCGTACTTACCTGTCCCACCAATCACCGCAACCTCTGATTGTTGCGATGCTGTCCTATGAACCCCAAACAAACTTATGCTGTCTTCCACCCCATCATTATCATTATGCTCACCACTATGCAGCAAAACTGTCACCACAATGCTCTGGCTAGTACCATCCAATGAGCTAGCCGTGTAGAACCCTTGTGCTCTACCAACAACAGCAGAACCCAGTTCCTGCCCTTCCGTTAACTGGTCATCAATCACTGTAATGGAGCCAAACATGAGCTTCTGAACTGTAAACCCACCAGGAAGGTTTCCTGCTGAAACAAATGGCTGGTTGTTGCCACCTGTTACAACGTTGCTGGTTCCTCGGTTTTGGAACACTGTAGAGGATTGAGCACCACTGAGGCCTACAAGGTTTGGCAGATTGTTATTAGTTATGATGCCATTGAGCTTGGGGTTGACCAGTGGAATTCCTCCGGCTATTGGGAAGAGGTTGTTGTTCAGCTTGGAGAATGGTAGCCCTGTCATATCAGTGTTTGCTACGATTCCTGCCACTACTCTCGCTGATGGGTGTGATCCACCAAGGATATCATGCATGAAGAACGATAGTGATGGCTCCTTTGCCACTGGGATGGCAGGGACTTCAGCTTCTGGTTGTGGCTGTGGCTGTGGCTGCACTGGAACTTCTTCGCTTGCTGGACTTGCAACCGGTGAGACAAGTGCAGTGGCAGCAGCTGGTGCTTCTGTTTCTGGAACTGGTGAGTCAGTGTTGACCTCTGTGGTGGGTGCAGGTGTTTGGTCACTTGGCAAAGTGGTGGCAGGGCCTACCTGCGGTGTGGGAAAAGGACCTGTTGTGACTGAAGGATTGGCTGCTCCTGGTAGTGGTAAATTGCCAATGACTTGTGGTTGTGTTGGGTCCACTTCGTCTAGTATCCTGGAAGAGTTGGCAATCAAAAAAACAGTGGTTAGGAAGAAGAGGCACATGGTGGCTTTCATAGTGCCAGGATTGAGTAGGAAAACTTGGGCCATTTTACACAACGTGTTGCACCCACCTAGGATGAATTTTTTTTTTTTTATTTTCTTTTTCTCGATTACAAGGAAGATTTCGTTGTTGATGAATCAGATTTCTTGTCTTTCTATATATATACACACAGATATATACAATTTGGGGTGGTGGATGGGGGTATCTAATCTTCAACAAGTGGAGCTGATACTAAGGAGTAGTTGGATATTCTTTTTATAGGTTGTGCTTTGGTTAAAACAACTCGCTAGTTAGTACTGGCGGTTTGGCACTTACATTACTATTTGATAAATGGATGTGATATTTAGTGCGATAGGTACTTACTTGTCTAGGATGACCAACCAAGATTACAATTGCAATTTTATAATAAACGACATCAGTGACTTGGATAACATTAGACAGTAATTTCGAAGGAAATGGAGTTACCAGAAGTTGGATGCTTGTAATTTCCAATACAGATAAACCAAAAAATTCGCTTTCCAGTATGCGATTGTTAAAAAATTACCGTAATCTAGAATTCCCTAAAGCCATAAAGTACATACATATTTTCTGTCAGAATATAGATATAAATTATACAACTGGAGGTAATTGTTGTAGTTGTTCCCAAACTCCAATTCCAGTGAGTTTGATGGACAATGGGTGCCGTAGATTTCTGCTTGAATCACCAATTCTTGCAATACTACCTTCTCAATGCTGCATTGCTTTTATTTTCTTTCCATTCTTTTGTCACAATAAATTATACAATTCGATATTCTTCCTCTTTTGACTTTATCCAAGGCTTGCAGAATTAACTAAATTTTGACTAATATAAACTATTGAAAAGGCCCTTACTCAATATTTAAGTTTTGGGTTGAATTGATTCTTTATATCATAACTTCAATGACCACAAGGTTACTAGTTCGATACTCACTGCCCTCACTTTCTAGTAGAATTAAAATAAGTACAAGTAAATCAAAAAATGGACTTGTGTAATATCCGCTCTTCAAGCCCAAAGAACTCTTACGTAAAAGTGTGTGTTAGAGAATAATATAAATTATTAAAAAGACCCTCACGAAACCCTTAAGTTTTGGGTTAAATTAGTTGTTTACTTATCCTCAATCTATAACCGTAGCAAATAGTCTCCTGATCGTGATGGTACATAACATTATGACTCTTAGCACCCATCATTCAAGTTTTTACCCAATGTGTCTAATCCAAGCTTGTTGAGGATAAGTAAATTCCTGGTTATTAGTCCAAAAATGTTACCTCCAGATCTTTTCAAAGATATGACTTTCTGTTCTTTCTGATGTTGGAAAATGCAAAAGAGTTCCTTAGATTTGGTGCTTGAAAGAGAATCATTTTCATTGAAATTCAGTTATGTTCCCTTTGTAGATATCTGTCATCTTGTTACTCTGGAGATGTTCCCACGGGTATATATTTGCAAATTCCTTGGTTTTTAACTGTGAATACGTGATTTTTGTTATTCCTTCTCACATATGAAATCTATATTCTTCCACATTTTCCAATTTTATTTTGGTGAAGCCACAAAAAGCTTGCCAGCAGAAGGTGTACATTAAGTGAACTGGACAAAATTCAGTGTATATTAAGAATTAAAACTCAAAATATGTTATTAGATCTCAATAGTGTAGAGAAAACTGATTTTTTAACAGTTGGCTACTTTTAACATTCTACTAACTAAGATACACATCAAACAAAAGGAACTTTGAACTTGTGACTTTTCCTTGTTCTGTACTAGAAGACCCTACTCTATCCACAACCTTAATTGCAGCATAACCATTGGCACCATAGTACTTTCCAGTGCCTCCAATAACTGCAACATGTGACTCAAAAACATCAGTCCTGTACACTCCAAAAAGTCTGAGTCCATCTTGGTACTCACCCTTCACAAAACTTGCTGTCATAGCCACCATATTGCTACTTCCATCCTCTGAGCTAGCCACATACACCCCTTGTGCTTTTCCAAGTTTCTGTAGTTCATCTCCATCACCTTCAAGTAGTTCCTCATCTATTGATGTCACTGATCCAAACTCCAGCTCTTGAAGTGTTGCTCTAGTAGGAAAAGAGAAACCAATACTAGACAGATCAAGCGTTTGAGTGGAAGATGGAGTAACTGGAATTGTTGGTATTGGAGTCCCTCCATCAGGAGGAAGAAAGCCTACAGGGTTTGAGTAAGGTATTTGACCAGTGACCTTAGTAGTGTCAGGTTTCTCTGAAGGCTGTTGTGTAACATTGAGCATGTCTCTCATTAAAAATGTTATTCTGTGATGGCCATGGTTGTGGTTAGGGGTTGGATTCCCAAGAGTTCGAGCTGAGGAAGACTGGTTTATGGTAGTCATCAACAAAAGTAACATCACCATTGCCACAAGATAAGGGAGCTTGTCCATTGTTTCATCGCTTCTTTTGGCATTGGTTTGCATGCTTGGTTTATATAATTAGGCTTTAACTGAGTGTGGTGGTTAAATAGCCTATGATTAAATATCAAATGGCTACAAACATTAAAAAAAAGACAGTTTGGTTTATATCACACTTCAGAGTTATGTTTTAGTTGAACCACTTTTAGAATGCTACGTTGACAGTGTCATTGGGTTATCGTATTCAATTAATTCATTACGTCTTATAAACGAATTATATATACAAAGGAGAATAAGTTTCTCATCTTTAAAGAAAAGAGAAAAAGAAAAAGAAGAAGAAGTAGGTATCACTTATTTTTTATATGTTGGGTTTTATTAGTGTTATGTAACATGATGTAAGTGTTGTGTCCAACTCTCACATCAAAAAGGAGAGAGAAAGTGAAATGATGAAAGAGAAAGAAAAATATGTGGACCCCACCTCGTTAATGTGTGTGTAGGAAAGTGAAGTTATATTATGTTAAATGATAAACATAAAACCCTTATATGTTATTTGAAACAAAATTATCTCATATAACGTGATAAATATATTTCTTATATAGAAATACATAATTATTAAAGGAAAAAACACTTCTTATATAGTTATGGCATGAGAAATATTTTCTCACATTGTGACCATTTGATTTGTGCGTAAAACTTTTTTTTTTAATAAATGTGAAATCCACTGTTAGTAGAGTCACGATATAAGAAAATAATTTTATCAGAAAATCAAAGCCTAATTATTAATTATATATAATTTTGAATACATAAAACCTTTTTTAATGTAATTAATAAATAAAATAGTATCATACTATTACAGTAAATAAATTTTTATTGTAATTTTTTTTTTTGGTTTTGTCCAAATAAATTAACAGCTTCCTATTGGATTGGTTGTATATGCTCGGTTTACATGATTAGGCTCGAGGAAACGGTGAGGGCACTCTGACAAATTTTTTGGGCTTTACTAATTTGGGCCTCGTTTTGGGTTTTAAACTGGGCCTGGTTTTCTTTCTTCACTAAAACTTCTTAGAACCCAAAACAACTTTCTATATATTTAAAAAAAAAATCAACTCGCATTTGGGACTAGGGTTTGTAGTGAGGAGGGAGGCGTAGCCGCAGCAGAAGAGAAGAAGCTCGTGAATTAAGCAATGGGTAATTTCCAAAACCCTTCTTCTCTGCGTATGAATTCGTTTCATTTTCTTTTCTAATTTGTGTGATTTGTACAGCGAGGATCAAGGTTTACGAGCTGAGGCAGAAGACCAAGGCTGATTTGTTGAACCAGCTCAAGGATCTAAAGGCCGAACTTGCCTTGCTACGCGTTGCTAAGGTCACCGGCGGTGCACCCAACAAGCTCTCCAAGATGTAAAAGTCGCTGCTTTTCTTTAATGGTTCGCTCTTTCTTTTTTGACTATGAGGTGTTTGTGTTTATGCCTTCTTTTCCTTTGGTGTTGCAGAAAGGTGGTGAGGTTGAACATTGCCCAGGTTTTGACGGTGATTTCTCAGAAGCAGAAGGCGGCGTTGAGGGAAGCTTACAAGACCAAGAAGTATTTGCCACTTGATCTGCGCCCTAAGAAGACCAGGGCTATTCGCAGAAGGCTTACCAAGCATCAGGTAATACCTTGTGCTCAGTTCTGTTTTTTGTTCATCATTCCATAGAACTCTTTGCTCATTGATCACTAGATGGGAATATAAATATATTCTCTAATGCACCCTTGCAGTTTTGTATCTTAAATACATGGATTTTATTGATTGGATTTCCCTAGTCATATCTATTTATAATGTCCTAAAATTTGCAACTTCAGTAAGTCGCTTAATTTTTGTATCCGGCTAGGACCATTTTTTGTTCCTTGTTTTATGTTATTTTTTAAAAAAAGAAAAATACTTTATTCCAACATGATAGCCCCCAACCTCTCTTAAAGAATTAGGATGTACACGGGAAGGTTTTAAATACTAATTTCATTTTTGAGCTTGGTTGTTATCTTTCCTCCTCTCACCATAATCTCTTGTTGTTAGAGAACTTGTACATGCAAACAAAGGAACTATTCCCCCTGTAGGGTGATTCTGAAGTATTTGTATATGATTTCTGAGGTCATAATGTTTTAGCTGTATGAAATAATTGCTGCTAATGCGTAAAGGGTACCAGCAGTTCCTCCATTCACATTGCATATACTGTGGAATAGATTTATTGGCTAAGGAAATAATGCTTTCAGTTCAGATGGAAATAGATTTCTATGGATACCAGTAACTTTCAATTGAAATAAAATACCCATAATTAGGTATTCTAAAAGCGCCCCAAACAAGTTATTATTTCTGCTTCCCCCCTCCCAATAGAAACAAACAGAATTCCAAAATTTTGGCATGCTCTTTATTTTCTTTCATATATAAGTTGTTAGAGAGAAACGAAGGAAAATACTAGATTATTCTGTTCTTAGATGCCACCAGTGATATATGTGGATCATATTTTTAAACCCTTTTCATAGATAAATGTGAGATTGGCATTATTGTGGGATGTTTATTTCTATCGTACTTGTTAGGCTTCTTTATTTGTTGGAGCTGGACCGTTTGTTTATTGTTGCCCTATTTTGTATTTCTTGTTCATGCAGGCATCATTGAAGACTGAGCGGGAGAAGAAAAGAGAGACATATTTCCCAATGAGGAAATATGCTCTGAAGGTGTAGGAGTTTAGAGCAATCTTATCTATTTATTGGACATCTAAATACCTCGTAGTTGACAAGTTTTGATATGTCTCAACTTGTAGTCCCGTGTTGGTGTTATTGTGTGTTAAATTTCATGTCTCAGACTTGGGGTTTCTCTCTTTAAGCTGCTAGGATTTGTGCGGATTGTTAAATCTAAAAGTGGAATTTTGTTCTAAGTTGATGAATGCATTAAATTTTTGCCCTTTCATTTATCATCATTTTTTTTGGTTCAATGGCTGCACACCAATGTAAATCTTGGTGTTTTATAATCTACCTAAATCCCTCTGCCCGATCTTGGTCCTTGTGGCTTGTTTATAAGCGTTTCCAATCGCTTGATTAAGAAGCAAATGACAGGATGAAAAGTAGGAACTTAGCCAATCCCTATTCTCCGGCCGCCCCCAATATTTGCATAATTTGATCACCTTAATCAACTAATTTAGGTTTTGTTGATAATAGTACCGTATATGAGTATCCACATTTTACATAGCTTTGAGCGAATTGAAGAGTTTGGGGTGATGAGGAGTTTAAAATCTAATCTACTATTGTATGCGACTTTGTATACAATTAACATGAAATAATGTGCCCCAATCAATATTTCCTTAGGAGCTTGTTCGGTGGATAAGTGCAGAACTTGTGCTTGATGGTGAAGTCTATTTGTGTCATAAAGCTAGGATGTCATTCCGGTTAAACGAGATTGTACTCAATCAACATTATGCGTATAATAATTTTTTCTTTTTGGGTAGATATGAGTATAATAATTTAATACAAAAAAAAAAAACATTTTGAGTATAATGCGTCAAGACTCAAGAATGACTCTGTACATAACACTATTTGTTCAGCTTGCTTACATGGAATTAAAAAGAAAAGAAAAGATCAATTAATGCAAGCTAGCAAGTGGGCCAAAAGGTCACTAGTTAATTTTATACTGCTTTGCCGGTGATCCAAGTACGATGGCCAAAAAAAAAATAAATAAACAAGTTCTCACTCAGATCATGATAGTTAAAATTCTGATTTAAGTCTGCAATTTTATGATTTTTTAATCAAAATAATTTCATCAAAATTCTAAATATTTTTACGATTTTTTTTACGTTAAGATTTTATGTTTTACGATTTTTTATTATCTTTACAATGAGGAGGAAAATGTTCAAGAATTAAGGTATCCTTTTCAAAATTATCAACTGAGAAAAAGAAACATTAATTTCAAATTTCAGATACTTCGTGTAACAGTCAAAGTGAAGGAATTTTGAGAATGTGACTATATACTTGGTGTATATAATTCTATTGCTCGACCGCAATTTATATGTACTACGACAATAAAATTATAACAAAAAAAAAAAAACCCTCAAAATTCAGGTAAATATTCCAACCTTGAATAATTTATGACAATGAAAATGACTTATGATTCCTCGTAGATATCAATATTAAAAAAAAAAAAAGAACAAAAAGTAGTGTCAGACCCACAAAGTTGGCTATGTTTACAGAATACAATAATTATTATGCTAGTACAACCAGAATAAAAAGAAAGAAAAAACTAAACCTTTTATCTTTAATGTGGTTGGTGTAATGTCAATGGTGACACATAAACCAGGTGTACTCGTGCAATGCAATGCATTTTATTGAAAGACCATTTAGTCTACTGGTCTACAAATGGATTGCCAACCTGTACATAATTGGAGGATATCTCTGAGAGAATGTGCAGCTGCTTCCATCGTCCATGTTGGGTAATATTCACTTGGATGGAACATGGATTCATCTCTGTACTCTGTTAGTAAGAGTGGCTGAGCACCATTCAGAAACATGTCTCCTTCAGATATGATGAAGCCAGACTTCTGCTCTTCCTTATCTGCGGCCTGTAAACCATTTTTATCAATGTTGAGATATATAGTCCCACATTAGTTTTATGTGCAACTAATGTGGAGTTTATAAGGTCTTGGACACTCTCACCCTTTGAGCTAGCTTTTGAGTGGTGTATTCCAAGATTCTTTACATGGTATCAGAGCCTCGCCGCCCCCCACTTTCTCTTGTGGCGTTTCTTAGCACAGGTAGGCTGGGCCTGTTGCATTGTCAACTCTTCAAGCCCAATGGGCTTTCGTGTGAGGGGGCGTGTTGAGATATATAATCCCACATTGGTTGTATGTGCAACTAATGTGGCCTTTAGAAGGCCTTGGACACTCCTACCCTTTGAGCTAGTTTTTGGGGTGGTGTATTCCAAGGTTCTTTACAATCACAACCATTAGTAGCCATGGGGTATAAAGACTAATTATTTGTTCACATAATTTAAGAAGGTGGGTCATAGCACACATACAACTATATATTTTCCAAAAAAATATTATGAAATTGAATATTTCAACTTTCAAGAAGCATATCCAATTACTTACATATCTGGACTTCAGGGTAGAACTAAAACAAATTCATTATTTAAAAATTGAGATACCAAATGGGTGAAATAATGGATGTTTAAACACCCTTTTTTGGGTTAACAATTGGGTTTAGAGGTGAAAAAAGGGCTCAAATAAAGTAAATTTGAGAATATGATAGGCCATAAGTGCCCATAAGTTATAAATGATAATAAAACGGAAAACATGGAGTGGAGCAAATTATTTTACCTTCTCAGTATAAAATTCAAAAGTCTTTTTCTTAGCTCCTGCTTCATATATGTTGCACTGTGAGTATATCTGTAAAATGATTTTAAGGAAATCAATTATTTCCACAAATCTTACACACAACTTTGAATGCAAAAAATAAAAATAAAAAATAAATGAAAAGCTGAGGATGATAGGATCATATTAACCTGGGACTCAACACTACCACAAACAGCATATATTCCCCAGTTTCTGGTGTAATTGTTGTACAGATGAACTTTTCCAAATCTCACACGAGGGTGTCTTTGCCGCGTTCCATCAAAGAAACAATGATGAATTGTCACCCGGATGCATCTATCACCAACGTGAGATGGGTCAGCTCCAATTAGCATGGTCTTGTCATGCTGTGCAAAGTAACATCTGGTGCCACAAGCAAAGTAACTCATTACAATACAGCATATTCGATCAATCATTATTACTCAAGTTCAATTGAAGATGGAGAAAATGAACCCACCTAGATATCGTAATATCAGTGCTTTGTCTTGTAATGTCTATAAGCCCATCATCATAATCACGAAGGCTGCATCTATCTATCCATATGTGCTTAGAATTTGGTTTTATTTGAATGCCATCGACATCATGACCCCTACCACCCTCAAACTCAAGGTTGCATATAATTATGTGCTCACATTCTTTCAACCTTAAGCCCTTTCCAGTAAATTTTATCCTCTGGCCCCTTCCATCTATTGTCTTATAAGATGACACACTCAGGTATGATGAAAGATGAATTGTACCAGAAATTTCAAAAACAATCCATAGTGGCTCCGTTCTCCTACATCCATCCCGAAGGGACCCAGGACCATCATCTGAAAACAAAAGATGGCCAATGGATGATTACAAACAACAATTCAATATAGCAACTTGTTCGGGAAATGAACATTAATGGTCTAGCAGGATAGTTAGTATTTGTATTTACGGAGCTTATGGTAAAGATGACAGGCAATGAGAAGTCCTGCACCTTAGGCCAAAGTCCGAGTGTGTGAGTCACCTGCGGTGGATAAGATGTGCTCTGGGCAAAGTATGTAGGTTGTAGCCATGGTGGCCAGGATAAGTTATCAGATGAGTTCCTAGATGAGTTATCAGATGATCCCCTTTGTTAGCTATAAGGGGTTATATATAGATGAATGCATTAGGAGATTCTGCCCCTAGTGGGTAGTTTGCAGGTGACTTAATGGTATGATGCAATGCTTAATGGGTGGTTATTGATAGTGGATGGAAGTTATGGGAGAGTGATGGAATGAGATGCTCCATGTAGAGGGGATAGAATGTGGGTCCAGATAAGTGGTCCATAACACAACTCAAGAGTTATTGGAGAATATCCTAGTCCAAAAGTTTATTAAGACTCAAAATATCTACATATTGTGTAACTTGCAATGAAATTAAACAAATAAAATACGCATCATCACATGCATGATGCACCTACACCTGTCCCCACATATACAAAGGGCCCCAAAATGTGACTTCAGGATTGAGAGGGTCTCAGACCAAATAAATAAATTAATAAATAGAAAAATTACAAGTCTTCAACAAAATGATTCTGATAATATAAAATATATGGTCCAACAAACAAGGGTATGCAAACACACACACAATTGATTAAAATCCTAAATTGAGCTACAGATATGGAAGCAAATTGAAAACCTAAGAATTACCCTTGTCTAAATGCACAAAAAAGAGCAAAACTTTAGCAAATGCAACGAGAAACCCATGAATTCAGAAAAAAGATGAACCTGCAAGGGTGGTGACGATATAGAGAGAACCGTGGAGGCCACCGATGGAGTGGCGGCCGAAACCCTCAGCACGACCGGCCATGGCCCTGAGGGTGGAATCAACATCGCCGTATGGAAGCAACGACACCATTTTCGCCTCTGCTTCAGCCTCCTCTTGAATAATTCAACTCCGACAAACTCTTTTTTTTTTTTTTTTTTGTGTCCCACTTTTTTCTTTATTCTACATGGGTTCGCTTTTTTTTTCACTGATAAATTATCTATAGTAAATCTTATTATTTTTGGTGAAAATTATCGTATTTTTATAATTTTAATTTATTTTAGAATTATTATAATTTTTATAATTATAATTATTTAAATTTTTAATCTTAAAATAACATTATTTTAAAAGTAAATACAGATAATTTATATGTAGTAAAAATATTATTCTGTAATTCTAATTATTGATTTCACTTATTTATAGAGTCACTATAGATTGAATGTAACCATATTATACGTATGTTGTATTTTACTACAAAATTAATTGTTATAATTCGGATTATATCCTCTTAAGCGCACCGGCACCTACTACTTTAAAATAGTTAAAAGAAAATTTGGTACAAGAAAAGAGTGAAATTATTTCTTCGCAGAAACAAATTATTTAAATTTATATTACTATTTAAAATATTGATTTTCAAATATAACTTTAGCTTATTATTTTCGTTAATTTGAATACATAATAAGATAATATTATATACTTTTATTATTTTTACAGAAACAAATTTTATTTTGTTTAATGATTTGTCGTTGTATTTTTTAATGAGTTTCATTTTATACTAATTAAATGATATGGAAACTTATTATTAAATGATAATATAAAAACATTTTTTAATAGAAGGAATTATTTAATTATTGAATTATTTGAAATTAAATTTTTGATTTAATCTCAACCCAACTCGTGAGATAAACTTAGAACTAAATTTTATCAACGTTTTATACTATTTATTATGTCAAGATAGCTTTTTATTAAATGTTTTCAAACTTAAATTCACTGATGCTTACTTTAGACAAAAATAATTTGCAAAATCAAGTTTACAGATTTTTATTCAAACACCCCTAACTTTATAATAAAAGTGGAATTTAATTAATGCTAACAAATAAATAAGCTGTTACGGAAACAACATAGATACTTAAATGATGAAAACTTACTGTCTTTTTGCCAATGACTAGTAACTCCTTAATGGGCCAGTGGAACTGAGGTTTGATTTTGAAAGGTTAAGTTTGTAATATAAGATTGATCTAGCTTCTAACCTATTATAAATATAATTATTAACTTGTGACTTATTTATAAAAAATAAAAATTTAAATTTTACTTAGTTTGTTAAAAAATCAAGACAACAAGAATTTATCCAAACATAATATACAATCAGCAGCACTAATAATTTCACAAAGATTCATAAATTTAATGTATATCAAAACAACATAATATAGAATAAAATCATTTAAAAAGTCTGCTTAATCAATAAACTAAATCATTCAAAATCATAGAATCTAAAAAAATCAGCAATAATAATAATATTAATAATATATCTATTTTTTCAACTATTACGTATGAAAAATGAACAGTGTCAACAAAACAAGAATCGAAAAAAATGCTAAATCGCCTCTGCAAAAAAATTAGAGTTAACATTATGCAAAAATATATCAATAATAGCATAAGAGAGACATCCAAAAGACGAAAAGAGACCTTAAACAAGAAAGAAAGGTGAAATGCTCGGAGATGGCAGAAATCGAAAGGGAAATCGATGGTGAAATGCTTGGAGATAGCTTCAACGAAGAGAATGACGGAGTCGAAGAACATTTACTTGATGGCTTGAGCGGGCTAGGCGTGACGATGAGAGTAAAAATTAGCTTAGTTTGAAAAAAATAAAATAAAAAAAGACCACTAAAGAGAAGAGAGAGAAAGAAAAAAAAGTGGACTCTACCCAATTTTTTGTGTATTGTATGAGACAAATTATCTCATGTAATATGAGAAATAATATTCACTATATATATATATATATATATATATATATATATATATATATATATATATATTCTACAAACAAAATGGAGGGAAAAAAATAGTCCGTAAGTCTAAAAATGTTATAATTAACTAGTATACTTATTGAATTTTTTAATTAAGTTTACTTAAAGAGTTTGGTGTTTGTCCTTTTAAAGAACATAGAATTGTATCATTTTAAGTGAGAAATAGATACACAATAAAAAACATTGAGGTAGAAAGTGAGTGATTTTTTTAATTTATATTTTAAATAAAACATACTAGTTTTAACTAAAATGACTATCATTTAAAAAGGCAAATATTTTTCCCTTACTTAAATGTTATTTTAAAACAAAAATTTATCTAAGTTAAGTAATAATTTATTTTAAATCTATAGGTTCACTTTTTCTGCCGTTACTGCAGATAAGTTATCTGCAGTAAGCCTAATACAACGTCGTTTTGGGACGAAAATCATGGTGTTTTTGTAATTTTAATTTATTTCAGGATTATTATAGTCTTTATGATTATAATTTTTTAATATTTCAATCCCAAGACGACGTTATTTTAAGAGTAAATACAGATAACTTAAATATATTAACTGAAGAAATATTTTTCTATAAAACTATTAATAGAAATTAAGTTACGTTTTTTTAATAGAATCGGCCTTAATTATATACATAAGTAAAATGAATTTGGTTCCATCCGAGTATCAATAAGCTTTTATAGGACTGCATTAGATCAACAATTTGCCAACCCAAAATGTGGTTAGCCTGTTGTGGATTAAGCCCACATTTGGTTCAGCCCAGAATGAGGTAGACCCAATTACGGGTAATATTGTTGTTATGTCTACGTGTGTTCAATGTGCATGTATATTGATACATGAGCAATTGAGCATCACACTTGACTTTTATCCATTTTTATTTTTTTCTATTATTCATCACAAGCCTAGTTCAAGTATTTGGTGCATGTTTTGCAATTTAGTGCTTGACATTATTTCTTCCTTTCATAGTAGATTTTACAACATGTTTATCACATTATTGTTTTGTTATATGTGAATAAATATTTGTTTCACCAAAGACTTTAGGTTGAGAAGTTAGGTATTTGGACTCTAGATTCAGTCATGTAGCCACACTGAATCTTTCTTCACACGCTTGGACCTCTTTCAGGTAACATAGGTGTTTTACCGTTAAGGTGGTTAATTGCGAGCTTTTTCCTCTTATATAGATATAGATGTAGATTGGCTTAAAAGTGCATGCACATGCATACCTCATTCTTGTGATTGTGGAATTAAGAGGGGTAAACTTTTTTGACAATGTTGTAAAAATCGAGATATAAGTAATATCGGGAGGAGATTAAAAAATCGTAAAACATAAAATAGTATTGTAAGAAAATCATAAAAACATAAAATTGTAATGATTAATCAAAATTTTAATAACATGCTTCTTGATGATCGCTAGGAACTAAATTAGGGAACCATGTCCATGATAACCCAGCCTTGTGTGGTTTGGAAGAGACACAAGGTCATTTCCTTGAACGGGACAGGGTAAGTGATCCTTTACGATGAGGTCAAAACCTTTTGGGCCCAATGAAAAAGTCCATCGTAGAACTATCAATTAATTTATTATAAGTTTAATATGTCCGGCTATTGTAAACTTTTTTTCACTATCATTTAATCTTATAAAGTCAGCTTATTTATTGATTTTAAATTTTCTTTACTGTATCATTTAATGTATTTGACTATGTCAACAAGTTATGCGATATCAAATTCGTTAAATAATATAACAATAAATCATTACATGCAAGTGAAAACTTTTTTTTATTGATAGTGTATCAAAATTAATAAGTAACTCATTATATTAATAACTTGCAGGTATGATGTACTTTGATTATTGAAATAAAATTTTGATTGGTTATGTGCATTCAAGTTATACATTTTACATAAGAAATTTGTATATATATATATATATATATATATATATATATATATATATATATATATATATATATATATATATATATATGGGGAAAATATCTAATGTTACTTTAGATAACTTTATCTAATGTTTATCGAAACGACGTCGTTTTAGGGTTGAAAAATTAAAAAAATAGAATGATAAAGACTCTTATAACCCTGAAATAAATTAAAATTACAAAAACACCATGATTTTCGTCCCAAAACGACGTCGTTTCGATGAACATTAGATAAAGTTATCTAAAGTAACTTTAGAAAAAACAAACCCTATATATATATATGTATAGGGTCAGGATCATTTTACACCAGTGTAAGTTACACTCTTAATCTTGTTCGTTAATTCCACTTATATCTAAGAGCTCAAATTTTTTAGTAATGTGAGCCATTGGATATGAGTGGATCAACGGTCAAGATTGAGTGTAAGACTTCTAACTCTTACAACGGTGTAAGAATATCCTGCTCCACATGTATATGTATGTATATATATTTGTATCTTACACTCAATCTTGATCATTGATCCACTTGTATCCAATGACTTACATTACTAAAAAATTAGAGCCCTCAGATATAAGTGAGATCAATGGACAAGATTGAGAGTGTAACTTACACTGGTATAAAATGATCTTGATCCACACACACACACATATATATATAGGAAAAAATATTTCTCAAACAGCTTGAGATAAGTTTATCTCCGACTACCCTAAAACTACGTCGTTTTATTTATTTATTTTTTTATATTAATTGATTCACCTTTGAATGGTTATGATTTTCTTTTTCTCGCTCTTCCTTTATCAGATGTTATCTTATTCTCTACGTTATTGATTCAATTTTGAGCCAGTTAACTAGATAGGCACGTTAGAGGTGCTAAACGAGTCAGTAGTCTTTGGCTCGGTTCGTGAAGGCTTGAGCTTACATGTCTAAAATTGGTTATTGGTGCTTGAACTTGTTTAAAAGCCCGTTTAATAAAAAGGTCTCAGGCTCTAATTTAAAAGCTCGGCCTTAGAGTCTCTCAGGCTGACTTAATATATTATTTTTTATTTTTATTTTATATTTTTTATACTACTTGTAATAGCCTTTCTTTCTTCTCAAACCATTTTACCCTATTTTATTGGTTAAATAGACTTTTTTGAATGATTTTGTTCTATATTATGTTGTTTGGATATACATTGAATTTAT